TTTAGAGAATGTGATGGGTCAATCTTGCAATTTACATGAAAATCTCTTACTATATTCAATAATCTGATATAGTTGAACCAACTATATGAATAAATATATCATAAATGTAACCTAAACCCTGAACATCTTTTACCATGTGGAACTAACATATTGACAAGTTGAACACTCAACTTGAAGTAGGAAATGAGCATAGAATATACTTTCTTTTTGTCTACGTGTGTGGGGGTGGTACGTATGGGGTCATGGGTGGGGGGGCTTGGGAGGGTAAGGAAGGTTTTTTGTTGTTTGGGGCATTGACGGAGCTATAATATCAGGCACGGGTTTGGATAATCAAAATCAATCAACATATTCGGATTTGTTAAGAGATAAAGTGTATACAGATCTTATTTCTATCTAGTGGAAATAGAGATGTTGTTTCTAAAGAACCCTCCACATATGGATTTAGACAAATATATTAATTTTGCTTAGATCCTATATTTTTATTATTTTTGTTAATATTTAATTATAAATCTAATAATTAAAATAAGTTACATGTTTGATGATGAGTTGAGAATCATAAACTTCAGATTCTGACTTCAACATAATGAAATTGGAGCAAAAAAAAAATATAAAACTGAAAAGGGTAAGAGAGAAGGGTGGGTGTCTAAGGATGTCATGTGCTTAGGGAGTTTTAATTATAAAATATTCTATTAATCTAAGTTTTTTTAATGTTTTGCTTAGTATATATTATAATGCAAGATGCTTTCAAACAAATTATAGGATGCTAGAGATATACATCTTATTATAAAATGTTCTCAACTAGCCTAAAGCAATTCTTTTATTCTCCCACAAGGTCCTCTAGATTGAGAAATCATCACGTTATACAACTTTCATTCTTTGACCAACAATGCCTTTAAAAGTATTAGTCAAAGACAAAACTAGCTAACATGTAGATTAAAAGGCAAAAAGGTCTCTTTAATTTACAATAAGAAATGTATTAAATTTGCTTAAGTCCTCATCATTTTTTTTAAAAAAATATGAATAAAAGATAAGGAGCAAAAGTAGAAGTATTTTATAGTTTATGAACCAAAATTGCAATTTTCTCGAAATTTTGTCTTGTGAAATCAAGAGTTTAAATTTTATTTACCATTGTGTAATAACTTTTAAATTATCAAAAAAAAAAAGAAAAAGATATGTATATGTAAATCTCCTCAAAATGTGAAATTTGAAAATTAATAAAATAAGTTACATGCTACAACAAATAAGGAGAATATAGTAGTCTAGAGACTTCTTCCACCGATGATATACAATAACAATAACATAACAAATTATGAATATAGAAAGACTGTCTTTTGATAGATCTTTTGCTCAAGAAAAACATATCAAATTGATAAAAAAAAAATACAATAATGAAGAAATCATATATTAAATAATATTTAAATATAAATAATAACAATAAATAATATGATAATCGAATATGACGAGGAGTACTATGCATTGTCAAAGTAGATACTCTATAGGTACATGGAGAATTTATAAGCATCAAAGTGGGCAATCCAAAGTAAACTAAGCTACTCATAAAATAGAATACATTTTTGGTAATGCTTTTAAAGAGTCTTATTCATTAAACGATATTTTCATAACAGAGTTGCAATAAATTTCTACGTAAACTTTTTTCCAGCAAGTAGGTGCTAGATTAATTATTTCAAGTATGAAAAAGATGGTCCATATGGTACATTTCTTAAATTACAAAGAAACAAAAGACTAGACAATGTACTAAGGGGTCCTTTTAGTTGGAAACAAGTTAATCCAGAATTAGTTATCACGAGGTTAGCTAGCCTGGGATAGCTTATTTCATCACTATGATGTAAATGGTGGGATAAGTTATCCAAACATGACAACCAAACAAGATACAATTTTTTTATCCCATCACTATTTATCTTTCCCCAAGGTTGTGGTGTAATGGTGAGACTATGTACTCTAAATATTAATAAGAGGTCTCAGATTTGAATTTTGAACATGCAGAAAATTTTGTCGGGATCGTTACCCCCGAATGAATCAGTATGAGTTGTGGTGCAATGGTGAGACTGTTCCAAACCTTAATCAGAGGTCCCAGGTATGAGTGTTGAGTATGGAGAAAATTATTTCTGGAGCACAACCCCGAATGAGTCAATATATATATGGATTGAGGTGCAATGGTGGGACTACTCCAAACCTTAATCAAAGGTCTCGGGTTCAAATTTTGAGTATGGATAAAATCATATCGGGCACCACCCCCGAATGAGCTCTATAGTCCGCGGTTTGAATTTAATCAGAGCTCCAATGTGGCCTACAAAGATCGGATGGGAAACTTAAAAAAACTAGACAATGTGTATATATATATTTACTGTTCTTCAACATGCAATTGACGGTTATTTATTAACATTACCTACAAAGATAGGATGGGAAACTTAAAAAAACTAGACAATGTGTATAAAGACTATATATATACACACACACACTGTTCTTCAACATGCAATTGACGGTTATTTATTAACATTACCTACAATGAGGAACATTTATTACTGTAGGGAATAATCTTTTTTTCTTTCAAAATGATTTATTGTATTTGGCCTTAAGTTGATTGCAATTGCAGTAACACACAATGAATCTGTTGAAAATCCGATTATTCTTAAATGAAAGTTGAAATTTGAATCTTGAAACTGTTTTTTTTCATACACTACATCAAAAGTTGCTAAGACTTTTATCGATAATTGGATCTAATATCACTACAGATTTTAGGGACATTTATCAAGAGTGTTAATTATCATTAAAAATACATATTTACTTGATAAATTAGTTATAATTTTTGAAATTTAAAACACATAAACGCAAAATTACAAATTCAATTTTTAAGAATCAATTAAAAAGAATATGAATGTTTATTTCATGAATTGTAATCATTACTTTTACTTGTTTTTTTTACGTAACGGTTAAACTTAAATTGTTAGATTTTGCTTTTCGATGTAAAAAAACAAAAATGTGAAGAAGAAAACAAAAAATAGAAAGAAGCAAAGGAGTAAAAAAAACATGTATCTTAAATTTCAAAACTATATTTGTTTTTAAGGGAAAGGATATGATATACCTCTCAACTTTGTCATTTAAAACTGATATATCTTTTGTTATGAAAGTAGCTCATATATACTCCTACTTATATTCAAATAACTCACATATACCCTTTTCCTCTAACGAAAATGAAAAAAAATTAATTTTAGTTTAATTTTTTATTATTTAAAAATAAAATAAAATATAATCCCATATGAGCATATTTAATCCTCCTCAAACATATTTTTATGACTTTTTTTTTGTTTTAATTACTAATTTATATTTATTATTTTGATGTCAAATTTATTTATGTTTCACTAATATTCTTGTAAAACTTATTATAGATGACCAAATTTTTTTCTTCAAATACAAAAATTAAATTACAATATAGACAAAAAAAAATAGTTAAATTTTTTTTTCTTTACACTAAGAAATGAAAGAAAAAAATAAAATAAGAATAAGAAACTCAAATAATTATAATCAAAGAAGTCAAAAAATAATTTATGTACGAAAAAGATTAAAATATACCTTGAACTTTGCTAGAAGAATTATATATACCCCTAAATAATTTTTAAGAAAATTAAAAGTAAAAATTATAAATTTAAAACTAATTTTTTCATTTTCGTTAAATGAAGGGTATATGTGAGCCGTTTATATAACGATAAGAGGATATATGAGTCACTTTTATAATAAAAGACATATCAGCTCTAAATAATAAAATTGAAGGATATACCAGAATCTTTTCGCTTGTTTTTTATTAGGAAGATAATGGCCGTTTCTAACAAAATTATTTACTTTCCCAATAATTTTATCATATAGTGTGAGAGGGCACGCGTGGGGCGGGGGTGGAGTAGGGAGAGGGGTGAGAGTAGGACAAAGAAAAGTAAATATATAGATACATATAGATTTATATATATAGTGATGTCGTCACGTGGTTGTGCATCTTTAGTTCATGCAACCCACCATTCCATTCGTTTATCTCCGTTTCAAAACAAGTGATTATTTAAATTTTTTATATATATGTTATTAAATTTGAAAAAATATGATTTTCTTTTTGTAAACTTATACCTAATTAAATGAGTAATATCCTTTTAAGTTTTTAAATAGAAACAATTTGATTAATTTAGTATGAGAGAAATATTGAGAACACTTTTAAACTTAATACAAATTATTAACAGACTTAAAAACACTCTCTATTTGATTAACTAAACTTCAATACACCTTTAATCTGTAACAAAACATTATAAGTGGTCACAAACTCTATCGAACTCTTAATAAAAAACCGAAAGAATTATTGAAAACATCTTTAATACTCCCTCCGTCCCTATTTACTTGTCCATATTTCCTTTTTTAGTTGTCCCTATTTAGTTGTCCATTTTGACAAATCAAGAAAGGACAACAATTTTTTTCCTATTATACCCTTATTTACACTTCTTGAAAATTGTAAAAGTATATGTTGTTTCCCTCCAATTTATTTCATTTGAATTCAAATAAGTGATTGTAATTTTAAAATGAAAAGTTGTCATAAGGGTAAAATTGTAACTTCACTGTGCTAATCATTGTTGCCTTAATCTGTGTGCTATTTCTAAAGTGGACAACTAAAAAGGGACGGAGGGAGTAATAATTTTCATAGTTTTCAACTTTACTAATTATATGATAATTAATATATAAAAAAACATTAAGAGGGTTTTATATTATATTATATGAGAAAAACAAGACTATATAATAACAGTATTTTAGGTACTTTCTTCTACATATATACATGTAGTTCCTCTCTCTCTCTCCAATAATTTTTCTCTTTCACCAAAACAATTAGCAACTCCTAAAGGAGAAAACCAGTGTCTATTTCTTTTATTAGAGGTCTGCTGCTTATAGTAGTACTCCACTATATAGCTCCCCTTATTCTGCTATACAAATTCCCAACACTTGCCACAACTCCCCAAACACATTTCATATCATATAACTAAAACAACAAAAGAAAGAAAAAAAAAAACATGGTCCTTCCTCCTCTTCCAACAACAAATTCTGTCTCTTTCTTTCAGTTTCTTGCTATTAAGTGACCCCCTCTTCATAAAAGGGTAAACTTTAGTTTCTTGATTTTTATTTTCTTGTTGAATGGATTTTGGGGGTTTGGATAGTTGTGGAGGTGGGGTGATTTGTTCAGATAATACTAGTAGTACTATGTTTGTTGCCTCAGCTGAGACAAAGCAGAAATGGTATGGATCTGGTGGATTTAATAAACATGAAAGGTCCTCTGTTACTGAAGATGAATGGAATAAGGAGAGTAAATTAGCAAAGACAAGTGATGATTTTTCATCTTCTAAAGCTACTATGATGTTTCAGCAGCTTCCAATTTCTCATGAGAATCAGCAAATGCTTAGCTTTTCTACACCCAACTCTCAAAATCATGTCACAATGCCTTATTATAATCAACACCCTACAAGTGCTTTTGCTAGAAACACTTCAGGTACACTAAAAGATGATAAAGATCCTAACTTTATTGTGTTTGTGGGGTTTCTTGTTTTGGAATCAAGATTTGTTTTTGGGTGTTGGAATAATTCTATGTTGTTTTAACTTTGTTGGTTTTTCATTTAACTGCTGGATTTTTGGTAGCAATGTGCTACTGTTTGAATCTTATTTAACCAACCCCACAAATAAAAATAGAATAAAGATGGCATCTTTTTGTTACATGGTTTCTTTCTTTACCTATTTTTGGTAATAAGTTTGTGCCAATGTTGATTTTTATAAGGCATAATCAGATGAAAGGCCATAAAGAGAGTTGAGGATATTTCCTTGTTTCATTGGTGTGTTTCCTTTGGTATTAAAAATGTTGTGTACCCCCCTTAAATGTTCTAGACATAGCTTTAAGTTTTAGGTATTCTATAATGCATCTTTCAACAGTTTATTTTTCTTCTTTCACATTTGTAGAGCAGACAGAAGAGTTATTTGGTATAAAAACCAGTTTTTGTTATTAAAGATTTGATCTTTTCTTGCTCAGGCTATGGTAGTGGAGCTTTGAATGCTGGAAATATGCATGGGCTAATAGCAGGGGTGAAAGGGCCATTCACTCCATCACAATGGATGGAGCTGGAGCATCAGGCCTTGATCTACAAGTACATCACTGCAAATGTTCCAATACCCCCTTATCTCCTCAATCCTATAAGAAAAGCTCTTGAATCTGCTGGTTTCACAACTTTTGCAGGCCTTAGACCCAATGCTTGTAAGTCTTTGCTTTACCTTCTTTCAATCTTGCTATATTATTAAGATTGCAACTTTTCCCCATTTGTGCCTGAAATGTGAGATCTAGACAAAATATTAAAGACATTTGTACCTAAATTTGTTAAATCTATGGCTCAGGAAGTACCCTGAGTGATCATGTCTACTCAGGGGCAGAGCCAGGTCGGCGGAAAACTACATTGTTTATACATAGTTGATTTTAATGTATATATAGTAGACGTTGAACACCTTTGGCTTTTTCATATGTTTGATTCTTCATGTTTTGAACACCTTTACTGAAAATCTTTTGAGTAGTGGATGATCTGTGATCTGGTTATATTGGCAGTGGGATGGGGTGCTTTCCATCTAGGATTCTCTAATAGCAATGATCCAGAACCAGGAAGGTGTAGGAGAACAGATGGTAAAAAATGGAGGTGCTCAAGAGATGCAGTTGCTGATCAAAAGTATTGTGAGCGACACATGAACAGGGGCCGCCATCGTTCAAGAAAGCCTGTGGAAGGACAAACTGGCAATTCTGCCTCTGGAAACAACACCGCTGCTACTACTACTTCTGCCAAGCTGACAAACATGTCATCTGCAGCATCAGCAGCTTTGGCTTCCGGAGGGGGCGCTGCTGCATCGAACACTCTCAATCTCTCTCATCACAATCAACTCTCCAACTTGCAGCCTGCTGGAACTAATCTGTCCACAACATCCCCTTATCTTGAGAGGTACATTTCAGTAGTCTCCGTCAAAGCTCAATTACATCAAGCTGTAGTTTTTTACTAAATGATAGTAGTAAGCATCGCTTTTTGGAGGCAATAAAGAGTATAAGTTGTCCTTTTGATACTTTATTTGTTACATGTTTTAATATCAATCTTCAATTGCCAGGAGTTATACAGCCAAGGAAAATTTTGGTGAAAGGTATTCGGATACAAAAGGCTCTTCAGTTGTTTCACCAAGTGTTAAAGAGCCCCAATATTCAAACCAGAAGGAGCAGAATCCCTATGGATTAACCTCCAGGGCCGAATTCGGATTAGTTTGTGCAGACTCTTTGATCAATCCCTTGAATAAAAACTCTTCGCTAGTTAACTGCCGTGGCTATGTCAATTCAGATGTCAGAGATCAAGAAAGGAAATCACAGCATCATCCACTTCGGCAGTTCATGGACGAGTGGCCCAAAAACCAATCTGATCAATCCAATGTTTCATGGCCAGACATTGATTTGCAGTCAGATCCAACCCAGCTCTCCATTTCTATCCCTTTAGTCACATCAGACTTCATGTCTTCGACTTCCTCTCCTGCGAATGACAAGCTCACGGCCTCACCACATAGGTCTCGGGAACATGAAGCAACTCAAATGGGACTAGGCATTGGTACCATCATCAGTGAACATAACCAAAGACAAGGAAGTTGGATTCCTATATCATGGGAATCTTCCTTGGGTGGACCTCTTGGAGAGGTCTTGCATAGCACTAATAGCAGCTCAGGCGATTGCAAGAACAAGTCAGCTCTTAATCTCATGACCGAAGGATGGGATAGAAGCCCTCGGATGGGATCATCACCAACCGGAGTCTTACAAAAGTCCTCCTTCGGTTCCCTTTCCAACAGCAGTGCAGGGAGCAGTCCTAGAGCAGAACACAGTTAGACAACGAACGAAGGCTCCAGTCTTTGTAATGGCCTTCTTGGAACAACTCTTATGAATCCAACCCTACCTGCCATGTAATATGTAAAACTAGGAATATGCTATTTTGTAACTCAAGAAGTGAGCTATTTCCCTTTTTCCCCTTAATGCTCACACCCTTTGCCAAATCTAGTATGTACTCAAGATATTAAATGACTAAGTATTCCAGTGAAGATTTGTTCATTTGTTTACTTATGTACTATTTTCAGCCTTTTAAGGCTTAGTTAATCTAAATATTTTCTCTTAATCTAGCATGTGTCTCAGGATGAGAAAATGATCTAAAATTCCCAAACTATATCCGAAATTTCAACTACACACTCCAACTTCAAGGGTGCCCTATTACCCCTTGAACTTTATATTTTTTTATTTTCTACACACTTAAGTGCTGACCTGTCATAGGAGGTGTTCTCATCTCCTCTAGGCGCGTTAGAAGGTGAATTTTGACGAAAAATTCTTCTTTCTCCAACAGTCATCTTCCCCACCCTTAAATAAACCATTGTTTCTTCTTCCCTACCATTAACCCTTGTTCCTTTTGTAAAAAAATCGCGATTTTCTCTTAAAATTAAGTAGGATTGAGTTGTTTACATTTCTACTTTAAATCTTGAATTTAGGGTTTGTAATCTGCTCTAATTTCTTATTTAGGTCTCTAATTTGAATTTTGAACTTTCTCGAAATTCATCAAAAATGACAAATGAAAACTTGAATAAGCTAAATCAGTTGATAAACTACGAAATCAAGTTGAAAATACGCAGCAAAATCCTTCGATCATCAACAGAAATACATATGCAAATGGAGAAGGAGATGAAAAGGAGAAAGGATGATTTTTGGGTCTTTTACGTTTTAGGAGGGAAATGGGGGAAAAAGGGAATTGGGAGTTGCAGAGGTGGGGGACCCGGCGCGTGCAATCACGCTGGACTATTTGTTTGGTTTATGTGTTGAGGTCAGCGTTTAAGTGTATAGAAAATAGAAAAATATGATGTTCAGGGGGTAAAAAGACACCCGTAAAATTGAAGTGTGTAGTTGAAATTTCGGGTATAGATTGGGGGGCTTTAGACCATTTTCTCTCATAGGATTGTTCAATTTTTAGTTCAAAATCAACATCAATGGCCTAATGATATTCAATAAATTGGTTTTACTAACATGTGCAATTGTCTGGCTGATTAATTATGTCAATCAAGTTATTTTGTATTCTTACAAGTTGGTAGGAGGCATGTTGGTTGGTAAGTTGTTACAATTGATAAGATATAATCCAGCTTCATAGTGAGCTTTTAAAGGTCATTAATTTTCAAAATTTTCATTTTTTCTTAATTTATTTTTTATTTTTTTTGCCTATTACAAACAAATGAAGATGTCCATTTGGTTGAGACAGAATCTTGAGTATTTATTTCATAGATGATACATCAATATCAATCACTTTCTGTTGGACCAACTTATATTTAATTCCAGCCTGGTTAGTATAGATTTTTCTTTACGTTTGAGTTTTTTTTTTAGCTTTTGGTACTTGGTGGACCATGGTACGGCTTCAAAAATTGAATTTTGAGTGGTTTGCCTCCATGAATTATTATTATTATTATTAGTGCATTTGAAGTTTCACGCCTTTTTTATGATAGCCAAAGAAATGTTTTCGTAAAGATTGACATTCTGGAAAGCGTAGATATTTCAGTTACTCAAGGGCTTAAAGTTCATTTCTTTATCATGATATCAGAGTTATCTCAATTTATTGATTTACTCGATGTTAGACTCTCATATTACATTGTTCATGATTGAGATTGTTCTATCATGAAATGTGAATGTGAGGGTGTAAGACCACACATTGGTTTGGGAAATTTAAATAGATATCTTTATATTATTTTGGACAATCCTCACGTTTAGAGCTAGCTACTAGAATTGCTTTAGGTCCAAAATGTATTTCTTTATCTAAGATTATACCATAGAGTTGTCATTTTAGTCGTTTATACTTAATCCTTTGTGACACATTTAGTTTTTATGATAATGTACTACTGGTATTGTTATTAAGAAAGAGTAATATTTAACTCTATTAGGACAGTCTTTCCCTCTTAGAAATGAACAACTTTAGTTTGTTAAGAGGCAAAATATTTTTTCATTGAATAAGAATGAGGAAAATACTTTCCCTAATAAAAATAGAGCATACAAATTCCACATTGTCCCCATGCCCACCACTCCACTCTACGCCTTACTCCGCTTACATAATATTTATTTAGATTATATATTTAAAAAAATTAGGATTATACTTTTTAATCTATATTTCAAATGCAAAAAAATAAGTCAAATTCCTAGTAATTTTATTTCTTCTAATCAAACACACCCTTCTATACGAATTTTGTACCAAATATAAATATCCTATTTCATGGTTTACTTTTTGGTTTCTCATCTAGAGTTCAGATCCCGCATTGAAGCTCATACTAAATCCGGATTGCACATTGCAGGGACTATTCTGGGGTGGCGTTCCCAACAAAATTTCCTCAATATCCTTAGTTCATGGTCTTGACACTAGCTATGTTCTGCTACTCACAATGACAAAGTTCCAACTGGATAAAACCCGTACACTTTACTTTTCAGCAATCACTTTAAATACCACAAAAGAGGTACTTTAGTACATAGTCTTGTGATATGAACATCATAACTACACTGTATAATCAAAAGATGTCGGTAAACAAAGGATCATGGAGATCTGCAACGATGAAATTACTTCACTATACCAAGTAAAAGATTGTTAAAAGTTCATCATCTTCACCAGCAAGTCTTTTGTCAAGACAACATCAACATCACTTTTTCCATAACAGTTGACACAAAGTAGCAAGGAATCAAACTGACAATGAATATTAAGTTATTTAATAATGCCTTGGGGTAAACATAACTGAACAACTTAATAAAAAAGTGCAGCAATATGTCAATCACTGTCTGTTGGTAAGACTTTATAGTGAGTTTCAAACAATAAAATTAGTTGGGTATGAGAAAGATCTCAAATGAAAGATAAGAGCATCTGATGTAGCTCGAATAGTCATCAAATGAACTATCGGGCAACGAAGAACCATTGTTCACTATTCCAGACATTCAACGACTGTAGTAGACACCTAACTTCAGTCTGGGAAAGCGATATCAAAGAGCTATTAAAACAAATGTCCCAATTACCATGGAAACAACCTAGCAATGAACATTAAGTTATTTAATAATGTCTTATGGGTAAGACTCAACTGCATCTTACTAAAAGTGCAGCAATAAGCACGTCATGGTCTTTTGGTAAGGAAACTTATGGCGAGTTTCAAGCAGGAAAATATAGTGGTCTATTTGTCTAGAAAGAAGCAAATTTCATTATAATCATGCATTTGTCTTCGATGTATAGTAGTGTATTTATCTCAACCTTAGCAAAAGGGGAGAAAAAAAAGAGAGTCTAAACACAGAGAGAGAGAGAGAGACAGAGCAAGGTCTCAGATGAAAATATAAGGTTCTGATGTAGCTCAAATAGTCACCAAATGAACTACTGGGCAAACGAAGAACCACTGTTTACTATTCCAGACATCCAACGGTCAGCACAACAATGAATGTGGTAGACACCTGCCTTGAGTCTGGTAAAGCCATGTGAAACTATTATTGACCTTTATAAGCTATTAAACAAATGTGTCGCTTACCATGACAGTAGAATCATTACATAACTTGGATGAAACAAGAAACCTGAGTTCCTAGTTGCAATACAAAAAACTAAAGCAAGTAGATGCATATAGACATAAGCTAGCCCTAAACTACCACACTCTATTTCGAAAGAGTACACCGAATTAGGCTAGTAGGATTCAAACTCGTTAAATGCGGTTTAAACTGTGATCTCATGGCAAGTGGATCGTCATCCAAGATCTAGTTCACTAACCATCTTATTTAAACATATACATCACACAAAAACTATGAAATTCAAATGCTAACTTTACCAGATGAATGGACTATGGATTCACTCAAACAGCAAATTCTGATCTACACAAGAATGACAAATTCAAATGTTAACATTACCAGATGAATGGACTACGGAGTCACTCAAACAGCAAATTCTGATCTACACAAGGATGATGAATATTTTTTTCCTCATATGACAATAAAATAAAAGGCACAATCTACCAAGTCACTTTCATTTGCCCTGTCACAACTCAAGGAAGCAGCTGACAACTAGAGACTTACACTAAAAACAGTGTCCAAGATCTCACTCAACCAACACATTTCTGAGCATCAGCAAATCTTAGATCACACAAGGGTGAATATTATAGATTACAGCTTAATATATAGACGTAATGCTATTCAATGCATCTAAGCATAATACCTAATGCTAGTACAATATAAACAGAGATGAAGCTATTGTTTCCCAAAGCTTGGAATCACATGTGACAATTCTCATTGAAAGAAGAGTTTAATCCCCCATCCATTATCTTGGGAGATAACAAAAACTGCTCAAAACAACATCACAATGCAAAATCACGGTGATACTAAGAGTTGGTTTCATTATCATTAATACATACTATTGTCACCATTTTAATGAAGTAAAAACTTGAATATAGTAATAATTTTGGAACGTAAGTACGCAGAGAAGAGGAAAAGGGTTTCAAATTTTGGAAATTATGTACGTGGTCTACATATTAATAATTTATTGAAATTAAAAATCATAACCTATATTGTAATTTGGCCAGATGAGACTGAAATAATTATATTCAAATAAAGATCTGTTAAGACAACCTTATACAATAGTTTCTTCATTTGCTATAATACTTAACGATAGAAGTTATAAGACTCTTTGATTCTCTTGTCAACTTTTTGGGTTATGGGCTACTTAGCGAGATTTTCAGCACACACTAGAACAACATTAGTTACAAGCTATGTTACTCGGGCTCTTAAATAATGTCAAGGGGTGCGTCTCGGATTCGCCAAAAGTAGTGTATTTTTGGAGAGTCCGACATGGGAGCAACATTGAAAGTGAAGAGTCCGCACAACTTAGGTTACAAGTATGTTTTTAATTTGTTTTTGTTGTGATAGATTTTATACTACCTTGTATTGTAGTTTTCCCTCAGCTAAAGTCTAAACTAATTAAAATCCACGCATGTAACAAATTTTGCACGAAATAAAGAAACATGACATGAATAAAGGGAACCCAATTACAAGGCGGTAAAAGAAAGAGGAAAAAAGAAACACACATTCAGATGCAAGGAAGGGCCATCGTAATTTTTGTCATCGTCAGCAAAGCAAGAAATGTTGTATAAAGTGCACCAAAATATACATGTAGAAACAACAGACTTCACAACTATGATAAAACAATGGAACCCATAAAATTTAAAGCAACCACATAGAGAATGCTAACTGAGGTAACACACGGGAGGGACATATTAACTTTGAAAGAATATATTACAGCTGTCTGAATCTGGGCAAATGAGTTTAGAAAAGAAAAAGCACATCACACGCAAGAGTCATAAATAAAAGACAGAAGAAAACCTCCATTGATCAGTAAGAGAATTACTAACTTTGTCATCATATTTACATTAAACCACAAAGCAGTCTGTTAGAATTGCCAGCATAGTAAGGGTTAGGTCGCACTGCATTACCTCTTCACTCTGTTTGGTAGCAGCAGCATTGAAGCTTCCAGCAGAATAAAAGAATTGATATCTACAGTTCCCATCTAAATTGTATTGGCACCTAATCAGACACCTCTCGAGCATCTCTAACACTAACTTGACCAGGTTTCTCATTAATCCCAGCACCCAAAATTCCTCCATATCCATTAGTAGCCATGTTCATTACTCCGACACCACTATTAATGTAGGCGGGATAAAAACCTCCTGTATTGCCATAAGGCAATGGACCTCCCCTCAAACCAGTCATTGTTGGGTTATTCCAAGGACCCCTAGGCATCAAAGAAGTGATACCATAACCAATTCCAGGGTATGCTCCAATAGGATAACCACCTCCGAAAGTTCCAACTCCATAAGGATATTCTGCCACACTGCCATAACCCGAGACAGGCCCGGGACTATAAACATAACTAGGACTGTAAGATGGATACATACCCCGCTGATAAATGTTGTTATAGTTAGAACCATTTCCATTACCTATTCTAGAATGATAACCATTACCACTATTGTTACTTCCATCTTTTGGTATAGCCTTCTTGACCTCCACAAACTTGCCACCTAGTTCATGGAAAGACTCCTGCATAACCTCCTCAACTGCATCCTCCGAATCAAAGGTAATAAAACCAAATCCCCTTGGCCTATGGGTAACGTTGTCATGCATCACAACAACATCTGTAATCGTACCAAACCTTTCAAAGTAACTCTTGAAATCTTCCTGATTTAAGCTAGCTGATAACCCCCCTACAAAAATCTTCTTGGTCCTAAACTGATCATTGCTTCTACCATCAGTTCTGCTATTTCTATTCAAACCTCCACTACTCAGTTGCTGATTTTGGTGTTGTTCACTCCTGGGTATTGCTTTTTTCACCTCTACCTAAAAACAACAACAACAGGATATACCATAAAACATAAATCAAATAAACAGAAAAAAACTTCACCTTTTCTATAACAAATAAACATCAAATACACCTACATACACCCACACACTAAAAAGTTCAAATATTTGGGGAAAAGGCTTCTTTTTATCAAATTGAACAGATTAAGAAAATGGGTCCTCAGAAAAACAAGAATTCAACACAAAGTCAACAAATAGAGTTTGAAGACGTACCATTCTTCCAAGAATTTCGTGGGTATCTTGTAGGGCTAAATCAACTGCAGACGGGTCAGAAAAGGTAACAAAAGCAAACCCTCTAGGTCTACCAGTTTCCCTGTCCTTTGCAATAACAGAGCTAACCACAGTTCCATACTTAGAAAAATGGTCCTTAAGCATCTCATCACTCGTATCTCTCGGAATCCCACCACAAAAAAGCTTGCTTTTGTCCAAATCCTCCATACCCAGATGCAATGTAGCGAAAAAAACCCTGTCTTTGGTACTTTTACAGCAAAAAACAAGAACCCCAAACTCGAAAAGGGGCCTATTGAATAGGAGGGTTTTGTGGAAAAGTTGAAATTTGGAATGAATATGGAATTATTTGGGCTTTTGTAAGTTGATTATGGTTTGTTTCCCATATTTTAGGAGTTTATGAGACAACAAAACCCTAATCGTGAGGCATCTGTTTTCTGCTCTAATTAACTGTTTTAGAGAAATAAAAATAAAAAACGAAAAGGTAGGAAAATTCGAAGAAATTGACTTTTATTTACATGGTTAATTAGGGAGGAAAAAAATTAATTTAGTAGTCATTTTTGGAGTGACTAATTAAGTAATAGATTAGCTTTAGATTGTGTAGCAAGTTAATAGATAAGGACAAAAAAATCTTATTCATTCTATCATATACTACTTAGAAATAATTATCTGATTATATTTATATTTCAATCACTTTTACGTATTAAATTTAAACGTGAAAGTAATTAAATTTAATATTGATCTAATTAGATTAGAGGTAAGAAAATTTCATATAAAGACTATAGAAACAAATTAGATTGGGGTGTAGTAGTTGTTTTTCACTTAATGTATGGTACTTGTAAGTTGTCATGAACCTTTTATTATCGTTAGGAACTTTTATGTTTGTGTATGGATATGAGCAATAAAGAACCTCTAATTTTAGATAATTTAGATTTCGCATTAAGAGTAGTGGGTTATATAAATAATTATATTCATATAGTTATTCCCATTTAAAATATCAATTCATTAATGACAAGTATTTATTGGCAAAATAAAAGTAAGAACACCTCACCAAGTTTTAATTATGGAGGTCTAGGTGCATTATTTTATCAACAACTTAAAAGTAACAAATGAAGGAGAAGCATCAGACAACTTACTCTAGTTTTGTCCAAATAAAATTGATTTCTAATCAATCTAGGCAACATTAGTTCAAACAAAAAAGATGCATCACCATATATACTTCTCAAGTAATTCTTTGATAAGACCATTGGTAACTCGTTGGATCCTTACCATCCTGACGCAGATTTAGAAATTAAAATTTATTAAGTTCTACAATATTTTGGTGCAACATGGATAAAGTAGAGGCTTGCTTCTAGAGTCTTGTGTCATAAAAAGGGTAACACTCCGGATTTTTTTTTTAACTAAGACTCAAACCGTCCTTCGTAGTGAGTGAGATTTTACCAAGGAATTAAAAATTTCTTTAAGTGTTAAGGTCACTAGATGTAGCACCTTGAGTTCCAAAAAGAATTAAATTGGAAATAACAAAATCTGAAATTTTGCAAGTTAAGCTAAGTATGAGTTTTGGGTCGACTTCAAACGACTATAACTCATAGATCATGATGATTTAGGTGTGATACCAGATACCGTAGGAAAGATCTTTGAATTATCTTTCCAACGCCACCAAGTTTGCTAAGTTTCAAAGTCGGATGAGTGAGATATGACCTTTTGAAGTTAGGTTGTCCAGTTAAGGAAAGTTAGCCGGAAATAGTAAGGGGTATTTTAGTCTTTTCCTTATCCAAACATATTTAAGTCGTGTTTAGTAATATTTTTAAGGGTCTAATCCTATTAAGTTCAGTTTTATAATCCTAAATTAGTCTAGGGTTTTAGTTGAGAGTTCAAGAAGAGAAAAAAAGAGAAAAGAAGAGAAAAAAGGAGAAAAAAGGAGATGATCAAGCGTTCGTCGAGATTCTTGCGTCTTGTTGCGGATTTTCTCCATGGGTCTAATCCCTAAGAGGTATGTAAGCTTCCATAGTGTTGGGTTTGTTCACCCACACGCCAAACATATTATTTTCAGCAAAGTTTCATTCTCAAAAAGTTGAAGGATTTAAGTTCTTGATAGGTGTTCTTGAAGTTCTTTCTAAATTTTGTTGTGTTGGGTTTTTGATGATTTCTTGTGATCAAAGTGAGTGTTTTAAGGGATGTATTGAGTAGATTAGAGTGTACTTATGTTAAGTAATTGATTCTAAGTGATTGGGGAAGAAACTGTTCGATTCTAAGCGAGTTAGGGTGAGAAAACGAGCAAAAAAGTTCGTCAGATTTATTAGGTTGGGGGCCTGGCACGATGCGCCTGCCAGAGCGCCCCAAACCCACCTCTGAAGTTTAGGGGCTGGTTAGGGGCTGGCGCCCCGCTCCCCCATAGCGCCAAGGTCGCCTGCCCCACCCAGTTTGTCGTCAATTGCCCCGTTTGAGTTCGTTTAAAGTGTACATTCACTCCTTTTCGATTCTAACTACTCTAAGCTACTTCTAAACACCTAAAATCATTCCTAACATGATCATAACCTTGAATTCATAATTCAATTTCAAGGTATATTTAGGAGTTAGTTTTGAGAATTCTTTCGAACATTCTAAGAGAGTCCCTTCGAGTTCTTTTGATGAGTCTTCTACAACTTCTAGTAACTTGTTTCAAGTGAGTATGATGATGAGGAGAATTTATTCATGAATCTACTTTGTCATTCATGAGATCCTTCATATCAGAAACTATAACTCTTGAATTCATAATTCGCGTTCAAGATAGAGTTAAAAGTAGAGTTTAAGAAAGCTTTTGAGTTCAATTGTGAATCCTTTGAGATCTATCATCGATTTGAGTTAAGTTTTAAGGAAGTAAGTAAGAGAAAGAGAAGAGTTGTATACATGAGTTCCATAATGTTATGTAGACTTACGAGTCAAGTCGTTCATGCCCATAAATTCCGCATGAACTCCAAAAGTTGAGTATCTATGAGAGGAGTAATATCTTCATGTCCTAAGTCTTAAGTATTGAGTTTCTAACCCATTTGAGATTACATTCCTAATCATGGGACTATTACATGCTACCCATGAAGTCCTTGAGTTGGGTTATTCATGTCCATAATTCCGCATGAACCCTATAAGTAGAACAATCTTAAAACGAGAAGTATCTTTGAGCCCTTGAGTTGAGTAGTTCATGCTCATAAATTCCGCATGAACCCTCTTAGTTGAGCATTCTTGAAGTGAGTAGTATTATTGAAGTTCTTGAGTTCCAAGTATTAAGTTCTATCTATGGTTATTGAAAACCTTGCGTTGAGTCATTCATGTCCATAATTAGGCATGAACCATATTTTAAGAAGTCTTTTACAAATGTTTAAACTTTGTTTTAAGACTTAAGCTTTGAAATTAAGTAAAGAGTAAGAGTAAAGTCTTTTATAAACGTTTTAAGTTCGTTTTAAGACTGAAAATTTCAAGTTAAGCAAAGAGTAAATAGTTGAGTCCATTTCTCAAAAAGTTATAAGGGAACTAAGTATTCCCAAAGAGTTTATAAATGTTTTCACATTTAAGCAAGAAAAGGGAACATCGATTCCAAGAGAGTTTTTAAGCTAAGTTTGAGTAATTATCTCAATTCAAAAAAAGAGTTTTGTTTTTACAAACATATGAGCTAAGTATATTTTGGGAGTAGTATTGAGCACCGATATGGAGATGCGAGTTCATATTAACTCAAGTCTCCATAAACCATGTAGCCATCATGGGTAGTAAATGATCATACTTTTAGATGACTCCTTAAGATGCTTTTAGCATAGACTAGTGGATCCACTAAGTTAAGCGTTCTATATGATGGCAAAGTATATGACAGTTCTGGCAGCGTGGACAAGACGTTGTATCTCCATTTAGGCTTATAGTGGTGGTTGTCGGTTAGAGAATCTCCCACAAAAACTATATTACTTTATTATATAAGTAAGGTTGAGTTTGTTATTGCATTTTCTTTAACGAACTAAATTGCTTTTACTGTTTTATAAGTTTTCCATATATTACATCTTTTACTATTGCATTATCATTGAGTATCATGAGTTGAGTATCATATCTTTGAGTTGAGTATCTAATCTCTGAGTTGAACATCTTATCCATGAGTATTCCTTGAGTAGAGTAAGTTTGAGAAGAGGTAAGTATGTTTCCTTTTTATCAAGTTTCAAGCTTATGTTTATGCTTTAGAATTCATTTTTACATGTTCGTACATTCCACGTGCTGAGCCATTTGACCTGCATCTTCTCATGATGCAGACACAGGTATTCAGGATCATCAACAAGAACTTCGTTGATACATCCGAGAGTTCGAGTTAGCTATGATGAGCCTCCTTGCTTTCGAAGGATTTTATTTACCTTTCAGTTTAGTCAGGATGTCGTGGGTCTTGTCTCGACTTCCACCTTTATCAGTTAAAGGCTTCATAGATAGTCAGTATAGTTGAGAAGTTTGTATTATTTATTTATTTTATTAAATATTTCAAAGACTTAAGTTGCCAATTTTAGAGCGAGTTGAATATATTTTATTATTCAGAGTTTTCATTTGAGTTAAAGTTTGAATGTAAGTTTTATGAACTTTTATTTCAGTTTTTAAGCTTTGTATGCTTGAATCAGTTTTCCGCTTGTAGTCAGCCAGGATGAGGGTTCGCTTGGGGACCAGCAATGGTCTTCGAGTGCTGACCATGTCTAGGGTGTAGGCTCGGGTCGTGACAAAAAGATACATGTTGCGGAGATGAGGACGATTGGTTGAAGGATAAGTTTTATACGGTGGTGGTTGTGTTCGCAAGTCAACAACTCTCATGTTCAAAAGATGTATGTTGCGGAGATGAGGATGTTAATGTGGATATACTAGGAGTGATAAGATCGTTAATGAGGATATTTAAAATAAGGTGGGAGTGACTTTCATTATGAATAAGATAAAGAAAGCGAGACTAAGATAGTTTAGCATGTGAGGATGAGATGTATAAACGTACCTGTGAGGAGGTGCGTAAGGTTAGTGATAGAGGGTTTAGACATATGAGGATAAGGTACGAAATGTTAGTGACAGAGGGTTTAGACATGTGAGAAAGAGGTGGAAAAAGTTAGTGATAGAGGGTTTAGACATGTGAGGAGGAGATGTATAAACACACTTGTGAGGAGGTGCGAAAAGGTTAGTGATAAAGGGTATGAGGAGAGACAAAAGTAATCTTACCAAGGATATGACCCTAGATAAGGGTGAAGGGCACATATTAGGATAGACAAATAGTATGTAGTGTAGTGTTAACTTTCTTTGGGTGGCTAGTGTTTGTGATGATATAAGTTGTATTATTAAAGTTCTTGTTTTTCAATTTTAATCATTGTTTATTATTTCATTAATCTTAGTATGTTGTTGATGATGTTTTGACTAGCACACAATTTATTACGTAATTTGT